GCTTAGACACACAATGAGACCTTGCTCATGCGTATTGGAAATGTTTGGTATTATTTTCAGAAAGTAAAGAACAGTATATTTTCAAGGTTCATTTTTATTGAAATATATAATTATAATAAAGTCAAAAAAAGTAAAAATAAAAAAAAGACGAGAGTAAATGGTGAGAAAGCAAAAACGAAAAGAAGATAAGGCAAAAAAGCTAGCTAATTTATAATGTTTTTTTACACCGATGATGCCTGATGGCGATGTCTGATTTTTGGTATTGATTCGTGTTTGTGCCATCATACGTTCTACAAAGCAAAAAAATTAAATATATTCAATATAAAAATAATTCGAAACAATAATCTCAAAGAAGAATGTATGACTGGTGAGATAAAATACCAGCAACAGTCTTTAAACAGTACATACCTGTCTTATTTAATACCTCAACAAGCTATTCAGATATTCTTTTCACCTCTAGAAAATGATGGATACACTTCTCACGGTCATCAAAGACCACTAGTTGAAGGAACTATTCTGTTGACAATTATATTCAAATACCTTGCTCAATTCAAACCAAACAATTGTAGTTGACTCCATGGTCGAAGAAGATACGACATGCTACTAGTTCAAACAAGCATTCAAATCGTATATTTTTCTCTACTCAAAGCAAACATTAAAACCTTATTGTATTGTTGAGTAACACATCACAAATGATCGCTTATCACTACCGTTCTATACATATATTTTCCTCAATTCAAAGCAGATATTTCCAAGTGATTCTATGGTTGAGTAATTCACCACAAAACAATAGCTCTAACAAGCTTAGCATTCGAATATTTTCCTCAGTTCAAATCAAACATTCACAGGTGATTCCATGGTCTGAAAGCACACAACGACTGAATAATTGATATCAACACTTTGTTGAAATATTATGCTGAATTTGAAGCAAACATTTGTACTTCACTTGATGGTTCAAAAATACACAACAGATGCTCTCCCTATATCAATATCCTATCCAAATAATTTATTCAATTCAGAGCAAACATTTGCAGCTGATTTGATCACTGAGAAGCATAGGATGAATGAATACACAATACGAAGATTCTATTAAACCATTTTGCTGAATTCGAAACAACAACTTGCAACTAATCCTATGGTTGACGACTACGCGACGAATGAATAATTGATACCAAGATTCTACTGAAATATGTTGCACAACTCAAAGGAGATATTAGCAGTTGATTCCATGGTTCAGGAACACACGACGAACGAATAATTGATAGCCAGATTTTATTAAAATATTTTTCACAGTTCAAAGCAAACAGTTGCATTTGATTACATGGTTGAGAAACAGACGACAAATGAATAAAGATATCAAGATTCTATCGAAATATTTTTCTCAATTCAAAACAATCATTTGCATTTGATTTAATAGTTGAGGGACACATCAGAAATGACTAGTGCAAACAAATCTTGCATCACATTATTTTGCTCTATTCATAGCAATCATTTGCACTAGATTCTATAGTTGAAGAACACAAGACGAATGTATAATTTATAGGAAGATTCTATTGAAATATTTTGTTCAATTCAAACCAAACATTTACAAGTAATTGTATAGTTGAGAAATACACGACGAATGAATAATTGATATAAAGAGTATATTGACATATGATACTCAATTCGAAGCAAACATGTACAAAAGATTTCATGGTTGAGGAACACACGACGAACGAATAATTGATAAAAAGATTCTATTGAAATATTTTTCTTAATTCAAAACAATCATTTGCATTTGATTACATGGTTGAGAAACACACGACGAATGAATAAAGATACCAAGATTCTATTAAAATGTTTTACTGCATTCAAAGCAAACATTTACAACTGACTCGATAGTTGAGGAACACACGACGAACGAATAATTGATAGCCAGATTTTATTAAAATATTTTTCCCAGTTCAAAGCAAACAGTTGCAATTGATTACATGGTTGAGAAACACACGACGAATGAATAAAGATATCAAGATTCTATTAAAATGTTTTACTGCATTCAAAGCAAACATTTAAAATTAACTCGATAGCTGAAAAACCCACGACGAATGAACAATTGATCCCCAGATCCTATTGAAATGTTTCACTGCATTCAAAGCAAACATTTACAATTGATTGTATCATTAAGAAACACACGACGAATGAATAATTGATATTCAGAGTATATTAAAATATTTTTCTCAATTCGAAGCAAGCATTTACAATGAATTCAATAGTTGAGGTACCCACGACGAATGAATAGTTGATATCAAGATTCTATCGAAATATTTTGTTCAATTTAAAGCAAACATTTGCAGTTGATCTCATGGTTGAGAAACACACGACGAATGAATAATTGGCACCAAGATTCTATTAAAATGTTTTACAACATTCAAAGCAAACATTTAGAATTGACTCGATAGTTGAGGTACCCACGACGAATGAATAATTGATAGAAAGATTCTATCGAAATAGTTTGTTCAATTTAAAGCAAACATTTGCAGTTGATCTCATGGTTGAGAAACACACGACGAATGAATAATTGATAGCAAGATTCTATTGAAATATTTTTCTCAATTCAAAGCAAACATTTACAATGGATTCAATGGTTGAGGTACCCACGACGGATGAATAATTGATAGCAAGATTCTATTGAAATATTTTTCTCAATTCAAAGCAAACATTTACAATGGATTCAATGGTTGAGTTACCCATGGCGAATGAACAATTGATAGAAAGATTCTATTAAAATGTTTTACTGCATTCAAAGCACACATTTACAATGGATTCAATGGTTGAGGTACCCATGGCGAATGAATAATTGATAGAAAGATTCTATTAAAATGTTTTACTGCATTCAAAGCACACATTTACAATGGATTTAATGGTTGAGGTACCCATGGCGAATGAATAATTGATAGAAAGATTCTATTAAAATGTTTTCTTCAATTCAAAGCAGACATTTGCATTTCATTTCAGGATTCAGCAGTATAGGACAAATGAATAATTAATATAAAGAGTATATTGATATGTTTTACTCAATTCAAAGCAAACATTTGCATTTGATTCCAGCATTGAGCAGCATACGACAAATGAATAATTAATATAAAGAGTATATTGATATGTTTTACTCAATTCAAAGCATATGCTAACAGCTGACTCCATGGCTAAGGAACACAAGCGAAATGAATAATTAGCACGAAGATTCTATTGAAATATTCTATTCAATCCAAAGGAAACATTTACAATTGATTCCCGAGTTAAGAGGCACACCACAAATGACTGGTTCAAACAAGTGTTACATCGTACAATTTTGCTCAATCTAAAGGAAACGTTAGCAGCTAGTTCCATAGTTGAGGAACGCACGATGAATGAATAATTGATATCAAGATTCTATTGAAATATTTTTCTCAATTCAAAGCAAACATTTACAATGGATTCAATGGTTGAGTTACCCATGGCGAATGAATAATTGATAGTAAGATTCTATTAAAATATTTTGCTCAATAGAAAGCAAACAGTTGCAGTTGGTTCCACGTTTGCGGAACACACAACGAATGCATAAGTAATAGAAAGATTCTACTAAAATATTTTGTTCAATTTAAAGCAATTGTTAGAAGATGATGCAATGGTTGAGGAACGCAGAACAAAGGAATAATTCAAACAAAGAACGTATTCAAATTTGTTGCATTCTTCGAAGGAAAGAATTTGAAGTCAGCTATACAATCGCAGATTTGTTGACAAATGAATTATACAAACACTAGTTGTATTCACATATTTTTCTCACGTCGAAATAAAGATAGACAGCTAGTGTTATAAACAAAAAATATGTAGCCAATGATAAATCGAATTACGGTTCTATTCAAGTTCTTTGGCCACTTGTAATATGGGATTCGTGTCGATATCATAATCAAAGTTCATATAACAAAATGATGCACAAGAAAACTCTATTCCATTATGATGGTCACTTGGTAAAGAGCTTCGGTTCATGCCATTATGAAACATCACACATCACATGAATAATGTGAATCATGCTTTTATTAAAATATTTTTTAATCTAAGAAATAAGAATTAGAGTTGATAACGTCACTGAAAATAACACGTTCACTGAATAATTGCAATTAGGATCTCATTCCAATATTTTACTCGTTGAGAAGAAAGGTTTCAAGCTGATAACATACTGAAGATCAAACACCCACTGAATAATGGTAAGCAGGATCTATATCAAGTATTATGTTCGCTAAGAGAAAAAGATTAAACTTGACTATATGACCAAAGATTATATATCGAATGAATCTTTCTAAGTACAATTTCTTTCGAATATTCTACTCTCTTCCAAAGAAAAGCCGCACATAGCCACATCAAAGATAAATACACAGCAAATGAATAATTCAAACAAATCCCATATTCAAATATGTTGCCCAATTCGAGGTAAACATTTGGAATTGATAAATATAATCGACGAAAGCGCACCGCATGAAAAATTCTTAGGTTGATGGCTCTATTCAAATATTTTACTCGGTTTCAAGTAAGAACTTATAAAGCATTACATGCTTCAGGAACACACGATGCATCCATACTTCGTACCAACACTCTATTTATATATTTTACTCATTTTAAAGTAAATATTTGCAGTTGATTTCATGATCGAGGACATAGGATGAATGAACACTTCGTAGCAAGACTCTATAACAATATTTCACTCGATTCAAAGCTTAGATTTGTAGATAAATATCTGAACGACGAATACATCAAAATTGGAACATTATCATCAAGATTTCATTGAAAAACTCTGCTACCATCGAAGCAAATATTTGCTGTATATTACAAGATTACTGAATGCGCAACAAATGAATAATTCATAATACATTTAGAAGCAACAGTACGATACCCCTCACATATTATCTTAACTATACAACGAATCTCGTGAGCTAGGAATATCAACGCAAATCATATTGCAAATGAACAGTTTGAAGGATGGTAATGGTCAAATACTATTCTCAATGTAAAACCAGACGCATGAGGTACGGATATGGATGCCGGTGACACTGTAATTCAATAATTGATAGCAAGATTGTTTTCAAGTATATACATCAAATTGATAGGAAGACTTGAAGTTAATTATACGATAGACGAATATGTGAGAAATGAATAAGTCATATTACGTTTCAATTCAAATATTTTATCCTCACGGAGAAAATAATTTGGAACTCCATATAGGGTCATTGTATATACAACAAATGAATAACTGAAACAAAACGTAGTTTCAAATATTCGAGACACTTTAAAGACAGGTTCTACAGGAACTGATATAGCTGGAAATTACATTCCATACGAATAGCTTTAACGATGATAATTATCAAATATTTTCCGAAGTGTGAAGGTAGTTTGAATAGATAGGGATATGTATGTCGATCATATCTGAAATGAATGCTCCTAATCACGAGATTTTTCAAATACTTTCAACATTTCGAAACCAATATTGCAAAGTAGTGTTATGGACGATGATGAGATCGAAATGAAACAGTACTGAACACGATAACTATCGCATACTTTGCTGACTATATAGTCAATTTTCACAAGTACATATATAGACATCGACCACGTTGGAAATGAATACTCCGTAGCATGATAATTGTCAAGTATTTCCAGTATGGTAAAATGAGCTTCGAAAGGTATTACGATAGACGTAGATCATATCGAAAACGAATACTAGCAATCCTTGTAAGTCTTAAATGCGATATTTGCGTTGAAGGGGATTTTTTGCTCAATTCAAAGGATATATCTGCAATGAATTGCATGATAGACGAACACATGATAAAAGGATAATTGATTGAGATGGTTCTATTCAAATATATTGCTAACATTCAACAAGATGGTTAAGAGTTCATTATATAATTGATGAATACACAGCTAAGGAATAATTCAAACAAAGCATTGTTTCGAATATTCTGAATACTTTAAAGTCAACTTTTAGAGGCACTGATGTACAACGCGATGACATAAAAAACGAACAGTTCTCATCATAAGAACTGTCAAATACTTTTCTTGCTGTCAAGTCAAGCTCAAGAGATAGTAAGGTGGAGGTTGATCACATTCGAAAAGAATACTTCTGAGAAGG